AACATTTAGAAAAAAAAAAAAAAAAAAAAATAACAAGCATCTGCAGAATGGAGGCGCTAACATAAAGTGACCGGCAAACGAAAAGACCGGGTTGGTAACGGATATAAATGCAGTGTAGAAGTTTGACGGCACAGCTACCTGGACAATTCTGCTCGGATCTGGTGAGATGCCCGCCGCAGCCATGGCGACGATTCCAGCAACCAAGATGCTCAAAACACTTGCGATGGAGATGCAGCTTAAGCCGTGGAATGTTCTTGGCAACGAAAAAGCAAGCATGGGAACGGCAAAAGCGCCGATGTACAGCATCAGGCACAGCTTGTTGTCGCTCAGCGAGGCAAGGGCAATTTGGCCAGCAAGCATCTGGCCGCCGGACGCGAAAATGGAGAAACAACAGGTCCCAAAGCCCATGATGTCGCGCCCAAGCGGCCCAAACATGATGTAGCCAGCGTCGCCCATGGTGTGCACTTCGGGGTGGCGGAGCTTGAACTCGACCAGCAGCCAGGACGTGTACGTCGCGAATACACCGAGGAATACGATGATGATCAGGCCTGGCACCATGCCCACCACGGCAAGAGACGAGGGGAGAGACAGCATGCCGTTGGATACAGTCTCGGTGATCATGAGAACTGCTACCAACGGCCATGAGAGTCTCTTGTATTTGATGTCATGCTGGTCCTCTTGGCCAAAGACATCGACTGAACGTGGGCCCAATGGCTCGCTGCCCGATTCATTGGTTGTCACAGCGTGTTGTTTGCCCATCCAAGACACTGTCATTGCGGTGGGCGTTGAATGTTGCCGGACTGTGACAGATGAATACGGGGCGCGGTCTTTGTTTTCTAGAGGAAAAAAAACGAAACTCGTATGGAACATTGCTGTCCCGCCAGGCCATGGGCAAAGGGGCCCCGATCGACGCATCTGGCCGAACAACGCCATATGCGGAGTAAGCCAAGAAGCAAGCTCCACCATGGTGCTTGTATCATGCTAGACTACGGGTCGTCGCTCTGTGGCGGAACGAATACGTTGGCGGTGTTTGGGTGATGCGATGAAGACCAATGCCAACTGCGAATGACGATGACGTCGATGGGTAGCCCTTTGCCTCCGAGAGAAACACTTGATAGATGTACATACTGTCTGCGGTAACGAAAGTGCCAAAACTGAGTGACACGAAGCCAATTGTAAACGTTGGCGCGCTGGCAACATGAATGAGGGACGGAAGAAGCGGGACGGGCAACATATATTGCCACGGAATTCACAGAGCATTGTAACTACCATGTGCTCGCACTTGCAAAGGCGTCAAGGGACTCAATAGCGACCGGTCGCTGATCTACGAAAAACGGGTACAAGACTTATGAAGTACTTCCCACGAAATGCCAAGAGCTCAACTTGCTCTACGTATTCAGATGATTGTCGAGCAAAGCTGATGCTAAATCATCCATTTATAGATTGGGACGACGTACAAAGAACCAGGGACGAGCGTTGAGTCATGCATATACTGTCGCTTATCAGATCCATTTCAACTTTTGCATGTTGGACTCATCACCTTTTACCTAATTGTTTTGAGTCTCGTGTCCAAGTTGCACTGAGATATCGAGGGGACCCCGCGCCCCAACTTTCCTCACCAACGGTGTGTTGAATACGCACGGCGCGATCTGGGCCGTCCTTGGCGGTAAGCCCTTGGGAGAAGCTAGATTATAGAAAAAGGACTATGTGCTTTAATGTCCGGAGTACTAATAAAAGGAAATTCCACAGCTTACACAAGAGCTGCACAATGGTAACTAGTAATTAGTGCAAGCTGGGCTTGTAAGGGTATTATTAAATCTTATTAATAGAACTAACTCTCGCGCTGGATTATGAGACGGGCTTTTAAGAATACCAGACATTATCTAATACACGTAGCTGGGGGCTTTGGAGTGTATTCGTCGGCCGAGCGGGACAAGCAAGTCGTTTAACCGACGCATTCGCCTTATGTGTTTCAGGGCCTCAGGTTATGCCAGACTACAAATTCGAATCGAGCATAGACCTTAGAGATGGCGCTTGCTGAATAACGAAGCGGCAAAGAAGCACTCAACTCGGCTAAAGCGAGGGACAGCGGTACTTTACCCAGAGTTTCTGAAATCAAGTAAAATCTCGGTATGAGTTGGATATACTCTAACCTCTGTGTATTGAAGTGGATTATTATAGGGTGATGAATGAAAATATAATTTTTTTTAAGGAAATAAGGTACTTACTCCTCTTATTTCCTCTTATCTCCTCTTTATCGCCAGTGCTCTATTAGCTGTATGCCACCCTGTCAAGTCACGGGTAGTTGATTAAACAGGGGTTAGAGTGTTATGCACATGTGGAGTCGATTTATTGGCTCAAAGTGGCTTGTAAATGATTCGATGTGAAAGGGGGCCGTGCTATTCGTGCTACCAACCCTAACTATTCGTGCTAATGCCCCACCTTGATTTTGGGCCTACACCCTGACCTACCACGCCCCGCCATATAATTTCACATACATTGCCCTTGTTTGGGTGATGCGATGAAGACCAATGCCAACTGCGAATGACGATGACGTCGATGGGTAGCCCTTTGCCTCCGAGAGAAACACTTGATAGATGTACATACTGTCTGCGGTAACGAAAGTGCCAAAACTGAGTGACACGAAGCCAATTGTAAACGTTGGCGCGCTGGCAACATGAATGAGGGACGGAAGAAGCGGGACGGGCAACATATATTGCCACGGAATTCACAGAGCATTGTAACTACCATGTGCTCGCACTTGCAAAGGCGTCAAGGGACTCAATAGCGACCGGTCGCTGATCTACGAAAAACGGGTACAAGACTTATGAAGTACTTCCCACGAAATGCCAAGAGCTCAACTTGCTCTACGTATTCAGATGATTGTCGAGCAAAGCTGATGCTAAATCATCCATTTATAGATTGGGACGACGTACAAAGAACCAGGGACGAGCGTTGAGTCATGCATATACTGTCGCTTATCAGATCCATTTCAACTTTTGCATGTTGGACTCATCACCTTTTACCTAATTGTTTTGAGTCTCGTGTCCAAGTTGCACTGAGATATCGAGGGGACCCCGCGCCCCAACTTTCCTCACCAACGGTGTGTTGAATACGCACGGCGCGATCTGGGCCGTCCTTGGCGGTAAGCCCTTGGGAGAAGCTAGATTATAGAAAAAGGACTATGTGCTTTAATGTCCGGAGTACTAATAAAAGGAAATTCCACAGCTTACACAAGAGCTGCACAATGGTAACTAGTAATTAGTGCAAGCTGGGCTTGTAAGGGTATTATTAAATCTTATTAATAGAACTAACTCTCGCGCTGGATTATGAGACGGGCTTTTAAGAATACCAGACATTATCTAATACACGTAGCTGGGGGCTTTGGAGTGTATTCGTCGGCCGAGCGGGACAAGCAAGTCGTTTAACCGACGCATTCGCCTTATGTGTTTCAGGGCCTCAGGTTATGCCAGACTACAAATTCGAATCGAGCATAGACCTTAGAGATGGCGCTTGCTGAATAACGAAGCGGCAAAGAAGCACTCAACTCGGCTAAAGCGAGGGACAGCGGTACTTTACCCAGAGTTTCTGAAATCAAGTAAAATCTCGGTATGAGTTGGATATACTCTAACCTCTGTGTATTGAAGTGGATTATTATAGGGTGATGAATGAAAATATAATTTTTTTTAAGGAAATAAGGTACTTACTCCTCTTATTTCCTCTTATCTCCTCTTTATCGCCAGTGCTCTATTAGCTGTATGCCACCCTGTCAAGTCACGGGTAGTTGATTAAACAGGGGTTAGAGTGTTATGCACATGTGGAGTCGATTTATTGGCTCAAAGTGGCTTGTAAATGATTCGATGTGAAAGGGGGCCGTGCTATTCGTGCTACCAACCCTAACTATTCGTGCTAATGCCCCACCTTGATTTTGGGCCTACACCCTGACCTACCACGCCCCGCCATATAATTTCACATACATTGCCCTAGTAATAAGGGAGTTATCACGAAATACAATTCAAGACGCAACGATAATAAAGACTTATAATACGGTCGCGGTCGCGGTCAGGAAACGCTGTAAATCGCACATAAACTCAATTAACAGGTAGACAAGCCACGGAGCAAGCAGCAATATTAGGGTCGCCGGAAATTGAGGAAATTATCCCTCAAACACAGCCGGAAGAGCCGCAGCTTCGATGGATGACCCCTCGGGAGCCCGGGCAGCGCCCACGGCGGCAGCGAAATAATTAACGGCCCGTGAATGTGTACCCATTCATCAAAAACACCGGAAATCGCGTTTTTGAGCGATGCCCTGCCGGTGCTCGCCCGAGCTTGTGTTATTGAAAAAATGATACATTTAAATACTACCGACTGAATTTTTGAAATGCGGGCGCGACCATGTACCCAGGGTGTATGTGAAAATGTATGGTGGGGTGTGGGCAGTTGACCACTAGGCCAAATCGAGCGGTAGTAGCACGAATAGCTAGGGTTGGTAGCACGAATAGCACGACCCGTGAAAGGGACCGGACTGAAATGCCGGACAAGGATAGGCCGGATGGCCCGGGGTCTATACGTGAAACGCCGCCAAAGTCGAGTCGGAGCATTCGAAGAAATCTTTGAACTCGACCCTGTTAAAAATCTGTCGAATTTTGAAACACACCAAGGGGTGTAGGCTGTGGGCCACCTAATCAAATCACCAGACATGCATGAAGAAATGCAAGCTAGTCGTCACATCCATGCATACAGCTCATGACACGCGCAGTCCACCCACGTGTTTGCTCCCAAGTTTCACCTTGACCAACAGATATGACTCGTGCCTGCTTTTTCCGACAACAAAGCCCAGGCTACCATCACAAAATAGATGGGCGCTGCTAATTGTTGACGACATGCACAGAACCGCGCGAATGGCGACGCGCACGCTGAAGCCAAGCATTCTTGTCGCATTTCTTACAGCGGTTTCTTTGGTCTACATGACCACCTTTCATTCGTCGAGTTCTTGGTCGTGGCCGGGCGAGTGTGCGGCAACGCCACGACCACATAAGCCGTCTCTAGCTTCAGTGCCACCAGATATCAAGCCATTCGACCGCAGACAGTGCAGGCTAAACGAAACTCGTTTTGCAGAGCTGAAAGAAAGATACGAACTTCAAGACGACTTCAAATACGCAAAGCGTTTGGTACAATTCTCTCGAGACTCGCAGACTCGGCGCGAGAGCCTCACAAAGCTCTCACAGCCTTTGTTTCCATTCTCCTCGGCACGACGTAACTGGCCGTTGCAGAGGTCCCGGTTCGACCCCGAAACCGACTGGTGCTCTGACCCGATTGAAGTCAACGTTTCCGCGTCCAACTTTCCCCAAAATGCCGACGCCTCAGCATTCATCTTTGGGGTTTCAACTACGCATCACCGCTTCGAAGAGTACCATACATTGCTCATCAACGATTGGGCCTACTGGTTAACTGATGGCGCCGGCCGATCCAACGGCGGTACACTGCTTCTGACGCTGTCAGAGGCCACCGAGGAGCAGATTCAAGAGGCCCAAAGATTACTTCGCCAAGCTGGCATAGATGCCCATGTGCAGGCTTCGATTGCATCACCGGAAATGGCAGTTCGCTACCTGTCACTGGTTCCTGCCATGGTCTCTCACCCTAAAAGGCTGGGAAAAAGGTGGCTTGTTCTTTGCGATGATGACACCTTTTCTCCCTATATGCATTCTCTCACGCAAAAGCTCGCTGGCTTTGACCACACTGAGGAGATTTATATCGGGGCCCTATCCGAGGAGGTGTATGCTGTCCTACGCCACGGACCACAAGCATTCGGTGGCGCGGGCGTCTTCTTATCCCTCAGAACCGCCGAGCGAGTCGCAACATTATTCCACGAATGCTCATCAGCTGACAAGGTGAAGGAAGCAGAGGAGCAAGGCGACAGGCTACTGCATCAGTGTATATCCCGCAATCCCGACGTCGTGCTCACTGCATTGCAAGATCTTTGGCAACTTGATTTCTCGGGTGATGCGGCAGGTTTCTACGAATGGGGGAGACGGCCACTCTCCCTCCACCACTACCGGAGCTGGCACAATGCCGTCCCCGGGCAGTTAGCCACCATTGCCTATGCGTGTGGCGAGGATTGCATCTTGCAGAGGTTCCAAACAAAAGACGACTACATTATCTCGGGTTATTCCATCGCGTCTTACCCCCGTGGCATCAGCTTTGCCGCGCACCAGATCGAGTCTACGTTTCGCTCAGTGTATACAAACGAGGGGGGCAACTTTGACTACAAGTTTGGTCCGCAGCGACCGTCATTACTAGGAACGGGGCGGAAGACCGCGTGGGAGTTGAGAGAGGCGACGCGTCAGACAGATGGGTCTATCTTACAGACATATGTACGAAAGGGCAATGATCCTCGGTGGGTCGACAAGGACAATGTCCCTATTGATGGACATGATGGCGTCATCGAGTTGCTTTGGACGTCAGCTGGGCTTACGCACTAAGTCAATTTGTGCGTGATACTGTATTATTGGGGAAAAAATGGTTGTTAGCGAACATTGAAGCGTGGAACTCCTCTTTTAGGAGCATAGAATTAAAATACAGGCATAGATTATAATGCTCATGTCAGTAGTAGCTGGCAAAACCACGCAGGACGACTTGCCCCGTGGGGGAAAGGTGGCTGGCTCCTTTTTTCTAATAAGCGATGGGTGGCAGCGTCTCCTACACTGATATGATTGTTGACTGTCCGCAACGGTACAACACGTTATGAAGCCGGTATCGGGCTGCAACAATTCAGGATGCAAATCCTGCAAACACCATTCGCGCCGCCAAGTGCAAACCCTACGATAACCGAAAACGTGTTCGTATAGGTGTTTCAATTTGCGTAGAGCATACAATCCAAGGGTACCCTTGATCCCCACTCCTTTGCGACTCCCGCCGCGTCTACTCTTGCTGTCGGAGAAAAAAAATCGTGAAGCACCCCTCAACTATAATCCGGTCTCGGTAGTGCCCGAAATGAGGCCCAGCTGAACCGTGCAAGCGGTGTGGTAATAGCCAACATGTCGTTAATACTATATTACTACTATAATTTATAACCTGAATTTAAGTTATTTGTATACAGTATAGTGCTATCTTCTTAACGTAATATCTTGTAGGTTATACATTTTGTTTGGCGTGAAGTAGACTAGGTACAGTTTCCTTTACGAATGGTCAAGCTATTTCTGCCAGATAATAGTGTTATATAAGCTTAGCTTGTTCAGTTATATGTATAGTTAATATTATACGTCGGTAGTAGAACTTGCCGCGGAGTAAGCCACAAGTCGCACCGCGGCAAAGACAACTGTGAATCGACACGGTGGCGAGTCGAACGGGGGTCCTCAAATCATCCGACTTCCTTCCATAAAAGGCAATACATCGATTATGCTAAATGCATGCTTTGCCCGATTACAAAGTTGCCGTTTCTCTGTTTTAATAATAGACCTATACTTGCATATCGCTAATACAAGAGATGCGTTATTTAGGCCCGTCTTGCCAAAAAAAAAAGGAATATGCTAGGCTTTTTAGAAGAGTTATAAAAACTACGTACCTAATATATTATTATCAGCACTTTTCGTTGAATTTACACCACCGACATTTCGAATAGTAGCACCGGATAGGATATGGGCTTCGCTAGACCCCTGCTATTCGACAATGTGCCCGGCGATATAGAGAAATAACTAGTAGTGGGTGAAGTCCCATTTAATTATTATTACACGCATCTGTGAATGTGAATCTCATCCCAGCATAGCGAGGAAGCTGATTTATATACCGTGATAGGACTCTGCACCTAATGCATTAATTGAGCAGAACTACCGGTCGAGTTACTAATCTTGTCTCAAATTTTGGCTCTCATAGCGTGGTGAATCTCACGGCGCCTCCTCTAATAACTAGCATTAAATAAAGGGGCCGGTATCAGGCATCCGGAAAGGGCGCTGAGTCGACTACCCCTGAAATGAAACGCAAACCCGCATTTACCGAGTCTATCGCCCCACAACTATACGCGTTTCATATGCAGATACTTGCCAAACATGTTCAAGTCCTCTCTGACATTAATTGCGTCTTATTACCCCACTATCCCTTTCACAAACAGTATCTCGCTTAGGTGTGCCGGTCAAGGCTTCATCCAATCAGCAGATCAGTGCGGCAACTGACTTGGTCCAGCCATACCGGTATACGTGTGCTGCTATGGGAAGATTACCCTCCCTTGAGAGACATAGACAAATCCGTCCTCTGCTATACGCGGTATACGAATCACGCAGAATAGAACTAACCATGTGAGAAGGTAACGAAGCAGGAACAGAAGAAAATAATGGATCAAAGGGGGGAGTTGATTGCGCTATACTTTGTAAGGGCGGGCGCTGTTGCGGATAAGGTCGGCGCGTGATTGTTGGAAATGTAATAGCAATTCACACAGCGGAATTTCAAGGTATTAATTCAATTGAATTGATAATGCCTGATGATGTTGAATGTTAAAGTTTGATGATGATGCCCTTTCAAGGCCCTGCAGATCCCGTGCCAGCTTTGATATCTAGTCAGAGCCGCTGAAAACCCCTGCTTGGGCTCCGTTCAGCCCGAGCCGTAGGAAAATCAACTACCTGGTGATCTTATGAGTTGTAAAAGCCCCACAGTAGTCGCTATTGGTTTGATGTGATTAGCATTGTACGTCTACCAAAGGACTTGTGAAAGATGGCACACCCCTCGGCTTTAGGTGGAATTACACTCTTAATGAATTAGTCGTATTACCAACGTAAAAGAAACGAAGAAGAAGAAGAAATATATGAAATCCTACTCTTAGAACCCGTATTCTAATGTTAGTATCGATCCTTCTTCACATGAGCCGATTTGTAACATATCTAAGAGTTAAACTACTGAAATACTAAAGGAGGAAACGATGCCTATTAACAGCAGTCGTAGGAGTATTCTTGAACCTGAAAAACGAACCAGAGGTGTTATGGATGTCCAACTCGTACGGCATCAGACAGCCCTTGATTTGTAGTGATTTCATCTTCCAAGCCGATTGATTGCGCATCCTGTTCTGCAGGGGTATAGTACGGGTTTCCCATGCTTGCCTTGTGCACCTCCTAGAAAATATATAAAGTTTTCTATATGCTTAGCAGCATCTGGAATTTCTGCATCCTATGGGGCTTGTCCGATTGTCAGGCCCCGGGGCTTTGATTTGAAAAAGAAATAAATAAATAAACGAGAGGCTAGTGAATGGGGAAGGGAGAATTTGGATAGATGAAATTATGTGACAAGGGCTCTGTGAGGGCTTAGAGCAATAGTTCTACTCATCTAATCACAGTCTTTGGTATTAAAGGTCCTAGGTTTTCCAAGTCCTTGAGGGACCAAAGGTCTCTATAAATACAAGACGTCGGTGAGGGGGTCTTTGTCCTAGGTCCCGAGATCGTAGCTCTCGTGTACCCGTGTGACAAATTAAAAAACCAACCCTGGATTTAGACACTTGACTTATATACCTTGGCCGAATTCTCACGTTGCTAATAAAACTTTCGATAGTATTTTAATATCTCAGCGCTGGTAGAGGTCTTCTATCTAATGGGATGTAACCAAGCCCTGGTTATTGATTATAAGAATGTGTGTCTATTTATCATGATTTTTCAAAATTGATGCAAGTGATAGATATCAGGCCAAAAAAATATCTCACTTCTCTTTTCAAGTGATGTGATGATTATTGGGAATTGTTACAATCATTTAATGCGGGGAATTATCGCTTTACGACAGATTATATAGGCAGGGCTAAACTCAGAAACTGGCAGGTTGAGACCCTTGCCAACTGCAGATACTCAGCTGAACTTTTCCGAGGATACCAGACTTGAAAGGGAAAATTAATAATCTCCTTGCGTTGTGGGTGGCTACATTTAAACGCCACAGATCTGAGAAAACGTCTGGTTCGTAACGTGCTAGACTAATCCTGGATAACGTATTATTAATACCTTCGTATCTGACGAGGTTGAACTCAGCTGCCAGTAATTACGGTTGTTAGCTACTCGTTTACGCCTAGCACCTGTTCCTTTATCCGTGCTAATCTACCCATTGCTAGAAACTATGTAACTTCTCGACTTGGCTCTGCTTTATATCACCTACGTGATTTTATGTGTTGATGGCCTTTAGTCGATCAATAATATATCAACTAAACTGTTAATAAAAAACACTCTGTGGGATCAGATATTCTCGCCATTGTTGGTGTCCCACACCGCTTGACCCTGGAGGAACTCTATTATTTACATGGCCTTTATAAATATTCTGTCAACGAAATCGTTTTCTGTGCCCCTTTAGGCCATTCAATTTTTTACATTGGAATGATTGGTAAACTCAATGTTCCATTGCTTACGTGCATTTCATCTCCTACCCTACTATCGCATATGGTATTAAACTACGGGATAAGATGGCTGATAGTTGGAAATATGTTACGTGAGGAGCATGGACGTGGATAGGTTGATGACTTTGGGATGCAAGACATACGGGGAACAGGGACTGCCACGACGGGTATTTGGTTGACCGTTGAATCCAGCTGTGGCAATGTGGCATACATGATAGGGCAAGACACGCAATGGACTGTCAGCAGAGCTGAAGAGCTGAAAGTCAACCCGCGGGGTATCCGGCCAATCGCGGCTGCATCAAAATATAATATGAGACTTGTATTAAGGCAGGGAATCATGTACGGGCTTTACTTCTTGCTAATCACGTAATATTTACACCATATCTAATTCAGAGAACCCTAATATGCTATGTTATGTATTGTAAACGCTTGGCGATATATCTGAAGCTAGCAGATTAGTGATTCATCATAAAGGCATATCGCGGCGGCAAAGGCTATCTCGAGATAGCTTCAGCTGCTGCATGGAAGAAAAATATAATTAGTGCTAGTGACTCGCTCTGAACAGGAAAAGAAAGGAAAAAGGTGCAAAGATTAAAAAGCACCAAGAAACTAGGAACGAGCACCGTCTGGTAGTTTAACTTCATCCCGGAGGGCATGTAGTAGTTATATTGTATTACTGGCCATGGTGTATGTTACGGTTCTCTCGCTTAGATACGGCTAGGCACATGGTGTTATTCTCACTAGGCCGTACCTGATGCAGCGCTTTCACGAGCATTTCGCCGTGATTTTAAATAGAAGACTTAATATATTTAATAGTATATAAAAAAGCCTTGGTTTTCTTTTCTCTCCTCGTTCCAAAGCCAAGAATAATAATAATCGTTGTTCGCGCATTATCAACAAAGCCCGGCATTAGTTAAGAAGGCTAAGGCGCCCGGCGGCCAACCTTCCTAGAATCGGTCTGTAGCTCCCTTCCTCAGCATCAATCAGCCCCTGGAAGCAAGCTACTCTTCTTCGAACATTAAAATCCCTTTCGTGCAATATAGCACATTTACCGTGCGGGCCGAAGGCAAATCTAGTCGCTGTCGGCCAAGGCGACTGTCCACTCGCAAAGTCGATCCAGTTCTGCCGAAAAGCGACACCCACACTCTCTGAGAAACTGTCGGAGGAAATATCTATACCACCAAAAAGATATACAAGGTCCACCGCATGGTGGGCTCGACTGGAAGGTTGCCACGGGTTTGGCTGGTCAAATACATACCGGTAAACCTCGCCTTTCCTGGCCTTCCACCTCTGGGCGATCATTTCCACCGGAAGGGCAAAGCATACATCATTGATAAAGTCGAGCGCACCTATTTTGGTCTGTGTCGGCCTCGAAGGATTAATTCTGTACAGTTCCATTAGTTTGGCTCCGTGATGATGCTCTTGACTAAAACATCCAACGATATCATCTGCGGCCATCATCTCTATTCCTTCTCTCCAAAGGATAGACTGTAATAGAAGTCAGAAAAGTAGCCAACCAGCAACTTATGTCTTTCAAGGAGAACCAAACCTCGTACTCAACATCTCCAATCATCAAGCGTGAAACGTTTTCGTCGCGGGTTTTCCAGTCTTCTAGACCTGGTTCGGATTGCAGGAACATGGATGTAATATTGCAATCGGACAGTGCTTGTATCAATACTGCGACAGGAGCGTCACGAAGCGAAACTTTGGCTATTTTCCACGCAGCTTCTGACAGTCTCTTTACCATGTGATTGGCAGTTTCTGTGGCTGCTGGGGGTGACAGGAACAGAGACCCCGAAGCGAGAATTGCGCTTTGTACTGGCGCATCAAGGAATGTATGAGCGTGGACATAAACGGCGCCGGCACTCTCCCCAGCCAATGTGAGTTTGCCCTGCTCTCCCTGTCAGCATACCTCGAGGTGATTTTGCAAGCAAACATGGCACTGACTGGATCTCCATTAAACTCGTCAATGTTTCGAACCACCCATTCGATTGCAAGCCTTTGGTCCCGCAAGGCGAGGTTTTTCATACAATTCCAATCTCCAAACGCAAACACGTTAAGTCGATAGTTGACAGTGATAACTATGATTGGGTTCTTTGAGGATATGGATTGTGCGACGATACGTGTCGGGTCTGCCACAGAGTTAGTCTCATAAGTGAGACAATACAAGGGCACGAGCAAGATCAAGCGTGACTTGGAATAATGCGATTATTCACAAAAGGAAGTAAGGGGGTTCGAAAGAGCTCAAGCTATCTAGGCCCTACAGCGGGAGCTTTTCCTCACAATAGGTGATTCGTGACGTACCGCAGACTCGCGACGATGCTGGGGTGAACGTCATGACTTGGGAGCCTCCTGATAGATGTTAGGTACATGGGTCACACATGGAACAGTACCGGTTGTGGAAGACGGCATGGGGCATACCGTGAATCCATATCAGAACCGGAAGGAGTTTCCCATATGTAGAGGCATGACTCGGGCGGTGAACATTAAGATTGAGGCAAGAAAACTCGTCGTACGACAGATCAGCATCATCGGACTCTCCGGGAAGCCGCAGAAGATAGCCCGTGTCGAGAACGACTTGTGGACACAAAGGACTGGCTCTCGGTGAGAGGCTGTACGCAAAACGCAGCAAGGAGAATAAGGCGGAATTTACCCAAAACGTGTAGCATCGACCGCCTGTCCGCCAAAGTCTGCGACAGGATGCGGTGTTGCAAACCGGTGGCTAATAGAACCATATTGAATACCTCTGAAATGCTCAACTGATTCACCATAGCGACTGTCTTTAACCCCATGGAATTGAGCGTTTAATTTCGAGTGAAGCAGAACAAGTCCCATTGTTTCGGGTCGCACTTGAAAAGATGACGAGCAAAGGCAGTGTCCTTGATTGACTTGGTTGTAAGATGCGTGATCCAGGTCCTTTTAAGTAAGCAAGGCGCATATCAGGACCTTAGAATGGGGCAACTCGTGGCTTTTGACAGCATTGTAGGTATCACTGGCAACTCCTAGTCTTGAGAATGCATCAGACATGGCTCCTTGTTGCGGAGCTGCGCACAAGATAAATGCCGCGCTCATTCCCATCTTTCATTCAGGAAATGCCAGGCGCGTTTTTCCGCGCGGAAATACCACCATTCCGAAGCTCGACGGCTTTATTGCGGGGAGAGAGGGGGAATATCCACTGTTCAGTCTCACTCTTCTCGATTTGGCTGAACTCATTCAGGTGGTTGGGGAATCAAGGTAACATGACCGTGACTCCTCAAGCTAGACAATTAATAGACTAGACAACGACACATTTCAGTAATGCTCGAAGATGGAATTTCTCCGTAACAGCGCTACTATACTTCTGACTTGGGTAATAATAATCCTTGGCGTTCTCCAGCAGTGGTCAGGAATCTTGTCCAGTCAAGTTCCATCTCGTCAACAACATTATTGATGTTAATGCCTTCATCTACTAGTGGCTGACAAGTGCAACCTACCTACGGCTTAGCTTTACCCCAGCCCTCGCCCTGTTCAGGACTTATTCAGCATGGTCTAGGGGAGCGGATTGTAAGCGCCTACTCACCGAGCCCAAAACTTGCTGCCCGCGATTCAATGCCCATGCCATTTCTTCCCGAGCCATTGCGGCTCCGAATGGTTGATGCCCTTCTCGATGTCATATCCGCTCCCGCCTCCGACGAAAACAGCCTTTCCATTGTGCTGCTCGCTTGTTGCCAGCTCGCAGATTATTCGTGCCACATCCTCCGACTGATTCATTGGCAATTTTGCCGTCACCCATGTCCTCTTTATATAGCCCAGCATTTAGGTGTCGGTCGCCCAGGGACAAACAAGTTTGGCAGGAGTGTACAAGCGCAGGGCGCGCATAATATCCATCAGGCCATGTTTAGAGGCCGATTAGGCGAATCCCCCCGCGATTCCCTGAAGCCGGCAACCGACGACAGCAGAATGACGGATTTGGAGATCCCCTCTGTTAGCCCCTGCGGCCGCAAGTGTGCCAGTGCAATCCGCGTAAAGTACAATGTGCCCTTCAAGTTAATGTCGAGAATATCCGCTAGAGGCGTTGGAACCTAGCGGCATAGAGTCGATATCATTGGTTACAAAAACAACGACGCTGCTCGCCCCAAGGCATCCGCAGTCAGGAAAATCACATTGGGCGTGGTAAACCCGTCCCCGGGCCGGAGAAGGCTTACATATGTACGGTTCTGACGCTCTCCAAGTTGAGCTTTTCTGGCTCAAACCAACCCGCTTGTTCGCCCACGGCGGCACAACAGATGGCAATTTCCACGCGTCCATGGGTTTTGAAGGCTGCGTCAAAGAGCTCAAGTTGCGACTCGTAATTACTGATGCCGATTTTAACCAACTGAATGCTGCCAGTGCCAACTGCAGCATTTATGTTCAGGTCATTGTTGCATTGGCGAGCTGCGTCTTGGTTCCAATAGCCGTATATAACTTGACCACCTGCTCGGTGTAATGTAGAAACCGTTGCGGCCCCAGTGCCCTGGGTACCACCTGTGCATGCGTTAGTGTCCCTCTTGGTCGTATCACGGTTCACTTGTTGCGACTTACCTGAGAGGACTACCACCTTGTCTTGAACAGAAGACAAATTCAACGAATCTAATGTTATCTCATCATATTTCTATGTTGATAAAAAAGAACAACGGAAAGACGCTCACTGAATTTACAATAGTCGGTTGGAGGCCTCTACGCATCGTCATACTCAACCTCGCAGGGCAAGCATGCCACGCGGCCTTATCTACATGGTCCCCCCGGGGGCCCCTATTCTCTTTATTTTCAATTCTTCTTTTATCACAACATGGGAGGGATTTCCCGAGCGTCTTCTGTGAGGTATGCTGAAGTCCCGACGGGGCCCTGGAGCCCTGGAGAATTGCTGCGCCTTGGGTGGCCTTGGGGTCAACCGGTCCTTTCGACCGAAGTCTGAGTCCCTTGCCGCCGTTGAGAATTGGACCACAAGTTAAGAGCGGTAGGCTCACACTCCCAGGTTAAAATATATAGTCCTATCAGAAGTTATGCTACAAGAGTAGCTTTAGCGACTTGAGCGAGTCTTCACACTTGACCTCGATTCTCTTGACCAAATCGAGAGCCTCGTTTTTCTCAATCAACAAATGAGCCACGAGCCAAAATTTGTATGCATTTCTGTGCATGCCAGAAGCCCGCCAAGCGTCCTGCCGAGTATTGGCTCAGATAGCCAACCACATTGAGCGCCAGCGCTTGAGCGCGTGTTGTGCCGCTGCTGTAATTTGGTCAACGCCCTCAGCCCATGCGGGCTGATCGGACGCCGAATTATGCCGCCATTGGCACATTGCGGTACCTAGAGGACGACGTAGGAGCCTATTTGTACGTATGAAGACGTAGAGCACTATTGCCCATGGTTAATGATAAATGATAGGTCAGCCGTGGAAAAAAAACCGAACGAGAGAGCTTACAGTGAATGGTCAAAACGGTGCGAGATCCATGGTTCACACAAGATCCCACGCCGCACTGTCGCTGTGCTGACGATGGATGTGACTGCTCCTGCTCTTCAAAGGCATCGGCTGTAGTTGAGCCGCGGCGGAAGCGAAAGTTTTCTTCAACAAACGGGTGCTTCTAATTGAATACCGAGTTTTCGCAGGGAAGGTTGTGCTTTAGCTCAGAAAATCCGAGCCTGCACGGATAATTCGAGAAGAAGAGAAATGCCCGTCTAGCAGCCGTACCATGGCGATTGTGCTTTGAAGCAGGGTTAGGGCCAACCAAAAACACTTTCACATGAGTCGGGACACACAAGAGACTCACCGTACTTGCGTCCTTTCCGCATCCACAATTCTTCAGAGATTCGATGTTGAGGGAGGTGTTGAGCCAGGGTCAATCCAGATTTCCGGGCAGCCTGTCCATGTCAGCTTCCGACCCTCTGTTGGAAGGTTGGTACCAGAAAACCTTGACGATCTCGCGAAATCGAATTTCCGTGGCCTGATTTTGGCCTGCCTCGTGCCGGCCCGGTACTGGACCGTCGTTATCAGATACCCCGCCTGAACTTGCTGGAATTGATACCAATCCCACTCCTTTTGGGTCGAGTTTGCAGCCGTCGACTCGTGGGAGGCGTGCTTGATTTCGTGAGACGCAGCGAATATCTCTGCCGAGAATACGACTAGCTCTGCAATGTTGAGAAGCTTCCGCGCCGCTAGGCGGTCGGTTTTGTCGTGAGAATACATGGCACTAAAGGTAATGATAGAAATGAGCAGCTCTGTTGCTATAAGCTCCGCGTCAAAGAATGGAGGGTGTAATTATTAATATCGGACAGTTTGGGTGCTAGTTGAGAAAAAACAAACCCACAAAGGTATCTATCTTTGGCTGGCAGCACAGTAAGCCGATGATGGCACTCAGCTCGTCAAAGGAACTGGCTTGAAGATTAAGTTGTTGGGTACTGCGCATCATGACATCTCTCAACGCGGTTATTTGAGGCGTCTCGGACTTGCTCGCTTGGGCCAGGGAACATTGTTGCAACATGCTCGGGACGTTTGCACGAAAAAGCCCGTCCAAATCCCCTTCGCCGGGGTCGTTCATCCATGGTTCGGTCCAGAAATCTGGAACTGAGTTTAGCAGTAATTCAAAACCTTCGGGAGGCCCAAGGCTGAGATGAAGCTGGCTTCCAAAGTCGGTAAGACCCCCGAAGTCTAACGCTGGATTCGCGAGCGTTTGAGGGGGGGACCAAGATCTCCCGTCTCATCACTGAAAGAAGGGAGGTCGAATATCTCGGTGAAGCTTTGGGTGCCGTTGTCGAGAAGGGCCTTGATGGATCTTGCATCGCTACCAGAGTCGGCCATCGGGCTGTTGTCCGCAACACCATCTTTGTCCAACTGGTATCAGCAGCATTCGCGAGACAAACATGCATCCAGGACTTGCGCACCCGCGGTACTTGCCGGCCGTAGCGGTCGATTGATTCTGGACGTGTCGCAGTCAAGATTCTTCCTCTGACAGCCACTACAAGGCGTGCCACCTTCACATCGCAGTTTTGAAGCTTTACACCGGGCTCCGTGTCAATAGGGCACGACTGATTTCCCATACCGGCTGCTGTGTACTGACCGCTGCGCAAGCGTGCCGACGCCTGCTTCTCTGGCCGCCTTTCGGAATTTCACGGCCGCCCTTCGCTCCACATTCTTCATAGTGATCCCGCAGACGATCACTCCTTACGAATCTTTGGCCACAGTAGAGACATGAATACGGCCTCACACCGGTATCTACGCATGCATGCGGGTCAGTGAGGGGTGCCGCAAGAAGGCATCCTGCGATTGGCAAAGTGCAAGCGGACAATCACGGATGCGGCACGTACGACTCAGAGCGTGCCTCCGCAGGTGGTCAGGACGGGAAAACTCCTGGGCACAAGTTGAACACCGGTACGATTTCTTCACAGCATTAACGAGTAAGGCATCATCACCACCAGACTCGCCGGGGGAGACTGGAGAGCCGCGGTGTTTGCAACCGGTCTGCATGGTTATTCTGCAATGATGCCGCTCCGGAAGGGATAATGGCAGCTCGCCAAAGGTGATAAGTCTGGCGGATTTGCGACATGGACGTCGGTTCGGATACGAATTTTATTTCCGATGTCGCCCGGAGCCAAGGCCGCGGCACCATGCGTCAACGCCCCGCCCCCAGGTGCCACATTTCGCAGTCTTGCTAGTCTCAACTAGGCTTTGCAGGTTAGTTTTCGCCCCACCTTCCCCAGGTAGTCAATTGCTCGGGGCGCTCATCCATTTTGCTCGGGGCGCTCAATACCCCACCACGCCCCAATTTTAGTCTAGCGGCCCCGCTGCTAGACCCTATCCCTTTGAGTGTGTTAAGGTCCAAGTGAGGTATTATACCTACTTTTCTGCGATACCTAACAGGTACTTCTTCGGTAATTATATCTGCCACGATAGGAAGATGTAGCTCTTTGTAAATTTAAATATTACTGGTACTTACACTATCACATTACTTCTTAGTGAGACTTTATACCGTTTAACACGGTTTTTCTCATTGGCCAGAACCCCTACCCGGTACGAAAAATGGACCTTAACACATTCAAAGGGATAGTACATTTTTAGTATAAATGTATAGTAGTAAATACCCTCAATTAAATAATAAGACGCTTGTGTAATTTACATGATTTCTTAATAATATTATCTTAAGCGGGCTTTAAATTACGTAGTTTTAATCTTAGCTTACGTGTAATCTCTTTAAATACTTAATATAAAAGGCCTTTAAGTGCCTTATTAGCTTAATTAAGGCCTTTTAATTAGCTATTAACTGTTATTTTCACGTAAAGATTAATATTAATTATCTTTTCCATTTATTATTACCTTTTATTAATAATTAAAGATAAGTATAAGATCTTAAATCTTAAGGTATAAGTTATTAAGGCTTTAAAAGTTAAAGTTAACTATTATTTTTATAATAATAAGTAAGGAATTTAATTAGAGATTTATTAAAGCTTTTTATAACTATTAATAGCTTATAATTTTATGCTTTTATAGTAGCTTATAAGCTATTTTCTTCGTTAAAATATAATAAGTATAAAGTAAATTAAATTACTTAATAAAATAGCTTATATAGCGTTAAAGGGCTTATTTTTTAGCTTTATAAGCTTAAATAAACTTATATTACTTAATTAAAAGGTTAATAGCTTTATAGGAAGTTTATATAGGTAGCTTATTAAGCTATTTCTTATAATTAATTAAATATTATTACTTAACTTTATTTTTAGCTATATAAGCGTAATAATTATACTCTTAGGTTTTAAGAGTTTAATTAATTCTATTTATGAGCTATAAAAAGTTACTTATCTTTATAAATAGGATAATTTTTATAGCCTTATAAGAGACCTTTATAAAACTATTTACTTTTTCGCTGAAATTTTAATATTTCTTTATAAAATAATAAGCCTACTATTACTTAACCTTAAGATACGTTTTTTTTACATATAAACGAATTATAAATTACTGTAAATTATATGTATTAATTATTTAAATTTAAGTAAATTAAAAATTATTAATTATATTTAAGTAAAGTAGCTTTTAAAATGCCAAAAAAGCTTTTATTAGGCTATTATTAAAAGCTTTAACTATTAACTTATTATTTTTATTAATATTATTAATAGCTTTATTTTACTTTTTATAGAAGTTATTCTTAACGTTTACTAGAATATATTAAATATAAAGCTATTATTATATCTTAGGTTAAATAACCTTAAGAGCGTTTTTTAATACCTTTTTAAAGTCTATTATAATAACTTTAAGGGTAAAGATTTAAAGGTTATAGCGAATTTCTTTTAATAAGGCTAGTATTTAATAATAGCTCTCTTCTTTTTTAATTCTAATAAAGCTAAACGTAATATTTATAAGTAATTTTTAATTAATAATAGTAATAATATTTAATAAATAAAAACTCTAATAATTAATCTTATAGGTATTATTTATATTAATTAATTGTAAAAAAACCTTTTATTTTTTAATATAAAAAGAGTAAATTTAAATAGCGCTTTTAATATAATATTAATCGTTAAATTTAACCCTATAAGATAAGTCTCTTTCTTTAAGAACCTTAATAAACTATTAGAAAGATATATAGCTACTTAATTTACTTTAATAGGCTCTTTAACGTTAATTATAAATGTCTTTTAATTAAAAATAAAGCTTTTCTTTATCTTTATTACGAATTATTATACTAATACCTTAAGATTAAAGGCTTATATAATTAAAAAGGCTTAAAATTTATTGCTTTTATTAATTTATAAATCTTTAATATATTACGTGCTTAAAGGTATTATTAAATTTATTATAATTATAAAAGCTTTACTCTTTATAATATTATACTTAATAATTAGAATTATTAGTAAATATTACCTTAAGCTAGTAATTATAGCTAGTTTTTTAGAAGCTTATTTTTTAAATACTAGTACCTTTAAGCTCCCTTTAATAGCTACTATAATTATAATTAAGCTAGCTTACCCGTAATTATTAAATACTATTTATTAGAGTCTTTAATTATATAAAGCTTTTATTAAAGGTATAATTATTTTACTAGTTAAATACTTATATAATATTATAAAGGTTATTAAAGCTATTATAATCTAATAAAAGCGGTAAATTTAAGGGTAAATTTCTTAAATTTTTAGCTATTATAATATTAATTATAATATTAAAGAAGAAAAAATATTATTACCTATTAAAAAATTTATATAATTATAGCCTTATTAAAAAATCCGTTAATTTTTATTAAAGCTTTTTAGTGTTAAGTAAAGCTACCATACATTTATACTAAGAATATACTATAGGGTCTAGTAGCGGGGCTAACCGCAGAAAAATTAGGGCGTGGTAGGGTGTAAGCGCCCCAAGCAAAATGGATGAGCGCCCCGAGCAATTAACCCCAGGTACCCCGCATACATAAGTGCCTCATTCCTAATAAGGAAACTGTATCTCCCTGTTTAGGCTTGATGTACATTTGGGATTAAAGGCACCGCGGCCGGAAATGCCACACTACGCTTTCTACAATGCACTCTCACCAAATAGAGAAGCATCCGGTGTCGGTACCGGTGAGGGCAACAGCACCGGGGGAAAATCTATCTGTCCATCGTCAAGATAATCTACGTTGACGGCCCTGTCCTTTTCGTTCTGCGTCCATCCATTGCCAATCCAGCTGTTCGCATTGTCTTCCCCGTGCCGATATTCGAAATCTTCACAACGCGGATGAGCAAAGACTTGCATGGCGTGTAAAGACGAACCTACAAGCCATGTCATTATTGTTGATTAGATAGTTTTAGCATACAGCAGCTTACCAGGCCAAAGTGCGTTGACCCTCCCGTCGTATGTGCCGCCCTTGTAGCAGCTGCGGCGGTGGAGCGTGAAGACTGTCATTCTCAAGGTACGCATCGCAGTGCGTGGTGAACCGTTGGACGGCCTGTTTTCGAGGAGCCATAGCGACAATATTGTCTCGTTGCATCTATTGTCATGTAGTCTAGGACCTTTTCGATAAGTAGGAGCAGGTTCACGGAGCCTAAGGCTCCGTTTGGTCCCATACTCACAAAAAAATTTGGGAACCCGTCCGTCGACATGAAAGGGTACGTCTCCGGGATGGCCTTCCACCTGTCTGCTAGTGGCAGACCTTCGCTCCTCATGATTGAGAAGCGAGGCATGAATGAGATGTCAAAGCCAGTAGCGCACAATGACATTAACGGGGTAGTGCTTCCCGTCCTGTGTTGGGATGCCCGTTTCATCGACCAAAAATATCCCTTGCTGGATGACATTAACCCTGTCGTGGGTGAGAGCTTCCAAGTATCCCGGGCCGGGAATCAGTCTGCGGTCTACAAGCGGGAACGAAGGGATCAGAGCTTCTGACAATCCTGGTTTCTTCTTGAGCCTTTTCTTCATTGCCTCGGTGAACAATCCCACGGCCCCAAGCTGCTCTGGCGCGTCCCTGATGGTGGATCCGTGAACGGACTGTAGTTCAAGCTCGATATCTGGGCAGTGGGTCAGTGGCAGGTATGTTTTCTGGCAAAAAGGGTAAAAGAGGAAAAAAAAAGGGAAAGAAAAAAAAGAAAAAAGAAGTTATTAACAGCACAACATTTTCGGAAGTTTAAGTATACGGATTTGTCTGCCTTGAAAGCGGCTTTTTCCTCATCGGAAAACTTGACTGTTTCTGCCTTAGCTTCCCTTTTCAGCGATTACTTCTCGTCCAGGGTACGGCTTTGATACCGCTTCTATGCTCATCTGTTATGGCTCGAGCAAATGTTGGCGAAATCCAGGTTTTCCCCTGGATGTAATGGTCGATGTGTGAGACTTTCGGCAGCATAACAGGCAAGATTTGTATTCCGCTCGTAACCTTAACCTATAATGGCCACGTTGCCCCCGAAAAAAATCAATAAGTGTGGTTGAGAGAAGAAGCGGCTAGGTGTTAATTACCTTGTAGTCATAGGACTCGTCCCAGGCCGCGCTATGCAACAGCTTTCCCGGAAAGTTGCCGTTTATCGGTGTATTCAGAGTTCTAAATCAAGCCTTGAATCTGCCAAGTGTTATCTTGATCGCTGCATGACGGTCCATGGACCAAATCACTTACCTTGAATGTCCGTTGAGATTCGTGGTTGTCCCAGACAGCGCCGACGACCTGCTGGCGGATTTTGATGTATTTCATGAAGTTGTACTTGCCAGCAACCGTCTTCCAGTACGCACGGATCTGTTTAGACGACGCGTAGAATCGAGACCACTCGTGGTTTGGTGAAAATGTTGCTTGGTATGCATGGGCAGGTATGTCGCAAGCACAGCCTGGGTACCGATTCTTGAACCAAGTACCCCCAATGTCTTTGTTCTTCTCATAGACTACTAGTGACAAATTTGCATCCCTTGAGGGAAGCGGACCGAAGTAAGTATGCCCGAAATGCCTGCGCCGATGACAACCACGCGAATCGGGCGATACTCATCAATGGGGCGGTCCGCCAAGAAGCTCCCGCCGCCGTCGTTTCCGTTTATATCTTGTAATTCCATCGAAATAGGAATTGTATTGTTGGAAAATAGAGACTTTAAGAATACTGAAATAGAATGCGAAATATAATGAATTACACCATCCAGAAGACTTTAATAGCCACACCCATCATCCTAAGTAACTTGCTTCGGCCTTTGGCCTGTTAATTTGTACCAACTAGCCTTTGCCTTGGGAGGTTCGGTGGGCCGATTTAAACCCCCAGGTGCCGTGCTCGGATCTTCATGTCCAACTAAAACCTTGTCCCGCCTCCTCTCCTTGGGATCGGCGGGTCTGGGCATCGGGATTTGGCATTTGTTCGGGAAACCCCCATCCGAGCCCATAATAAGCCCACAATACCCCCCGAGAACGGAGCAGAGCATCGTACCCTCTGTCGGCTCTTCTCCTTTCTTTTCATCTTTAAAGTACCTTGCAGGCTATGTTGCTTTACCTGAACTGCAAAGGTGGAAAAAGTACTACATCTCATCTAGCTCATCCCTAGCGAATCAACACTGCTCTCAGTTCTCCAATCACAATGGCTTCTGCTACGAAGAGTGATGAATATCAGAAGATATTCCATTGGGCAGAGACGCAAGAGAACGGGGCGATACCATCTTTCAATACCAGGAAGAATGACCCATACCAGGTATGACTCGTGTGAGCTTTGAAGAGAATGGCGAGTACTCACTGCTACCAGTACCAAGCGGGCTTTGGGAATTCGTATGTTGCCAGATGAAACGCTACGCATTTTGCTGCGTGTGCTAAGATTGTCAAATAGATTCTCGTCCGAAGCTGTTCCGGGTACACTGCCCCAGGGCCAAAATAACCCGCGCCATGTGAGATTCGGCTTGTACGCCGAGCAAATCACGGCGACGGCCTTTGTGGCGCCCCGACACGTCAACAAGAAGGCCTGGCTCTATCGTGTCCGCCCCGCTGTCGCCCATAATGGATTTGTAAGAGATTCATGTTGGTATAGTGCCATCTGCCTGCTGGAGCTGATGTTAGATTTCAGGTCGATATCCCACAAAACACAGCTGCCGAGTCCAATTATCTGCTCAGCAACCCAAACGTTCATATTTCTCCCACCCAGCTAGCCTGGAAGCCCATGGATATTCCGGAGTCCGGTTCGATTGACTTTGTAGCGGCCCTCAAATCCATTGCCGGATCTGGCGAGCCGACCCTTGGTGAAGGACTTGCGGTCCACGTATACACTGCCAATACCAACATGACCCAAAGGGCCTTTGTAAATGCCGACGGAGACTTCCTGATTGTCCCGCAACAAGGCGCTCTAGATGTGCAAACTGAGTTTGGCAAGATGTTTGTCCAGCCCGGCGAGATTGTTGTCATACAGAAGGGAATCCGGTTCCGAGTCGAACTTCCCGACGGGCCATCCAGAGGCTACGTACTTGAGATTTGGGGTTCCAGTTTCGAACTGCCAGAGCTAGGTCCGCTTGGTGCCAATGGACTTGCCAATGCGCGCGACTTTTTGACGCCCGAGGCCTTCTACGAAGTCAAAAAGGAGCCCTGGCAGATTATCTTTAAAGTGTGTGGGAAAGAGTTCAAGAGCACTCAGGACCACTCACCATTCGATGTTGTTGCATGGCATGGAAACTATGTATGTGTTGTGAAGCTGTTTATCCCATGCCGAAACACGGTTCCTGCTGACACGCACGAGGTCCCTTTCAAATACGATCTGACAAAGTTTGTCAATGTTGGTTCCATCTCGGTCGACCACATCGACCCCTCCATCTTCTGCGTCCTGACTGCCAAATCCCGGAATCCCACCGCACCACTGGCCGACTTTCTCATCTTCTCCCCTCGCTGGGACGTGGCATCTCGTGAGTTCGTACAAGACCAATACTGACCTCCGAATCTAATCATGCGCAGATACGTATCGACCGCCGTATTTCCACCGGAACGCTGCCTCTGAGCTCATGGGGTTAATCTATGGAGACTATGGCGGCCGCTCTGACGATTTTCGCCCCGGCAGTATCTCTTACGAGTGTGGCAGTACGTCTTTGTCTTCACAGCATAACAAGGAATAAGCAACGCTAACATGGAGATTGCAGTGGTGCCGCATGGAGTGGCGTATGAACAATTCAAGCAAGCCACCGAATGCGAACCACCAGTGATGCAGATCTCGACGGGTTCAGTGGCCTTCATGTTCGAGTCGAGCCGGGCCTTCACAATTACAGACTATGCTTGGACAAGTGATAAAAAGCACGAGCACGAACCGACACTGTGGAACGATCTTGCGGACCACTTCTCGGCTCACCTTGATCAAGTGGAGAAATTAGTTGCCGAGACGAAGGCTAGATAGAATAGCCAAAACGAGTCGCGCTGTTGCAACGGGGTTTTTTTCTTATTTGTGTCCGCAAAATGCTTTGTCTTGTTTACTTGTTAATAACACTCTGTATTTTGTGAGGCTTAATACCGGACTCTTGCAAACGGCTGGTCTTGTGGCTGGAACCAAGCCCAAGCCATCGCATTGAGTCGGAGGAGCACCAGTAATGTCGAGTATGAGTTGTAGTAAATGCATCAATACTTTCAGTGGGCACAGAGAAATCACCCAGATCATAATCGGCGACATGAATCCGGACACATTTTAGAAGCGGGAAGTAGGCATGGTTTGCAGTAGACAGAATGGCTATGTGTGATTGTACAAATGGGATAGGGATATTCCCCCGCCACACCTGGTCAAGTGGTTCGGAGTTGTAGAGTGTCTACCGGGGGCAAGATCCGTTTACCTTGTCTGGTGTTCCAGAGATCCTGGTGATGACCCAAGTGCCAGGAGGCTACATATTAAGTTTTTTTCTTTTTTCCAACCTCTTCAGATGCTCGCGCAAGCATAGCACTAGGTTGGGCCCAATAAATTAACACCGTATACCTGCACGTTGGTCATACCCAAACCAGAGTGTCAATATCATATATTACGTCATACACTCTAAGTACACGCATCACGATGCGTCGGAAGCTAGCAAGGTTGGTGATTCATTGCGAAGATGAAGAAAGGCACCAAAAACCAAGCAGCTAAAAAACAAACATAATTTCTTAATTTTGCCTCATCCCGAAGGGCCAGGAGGCGACATATAGCGGGGAATCTGGGCAGTTGAACTTGCTTAGCACCCATTGGGAAGATTTCCGAAGCCCCGAAACTACGCCTTGCTAAGCACCTATGCATTTCTATGTAAATACCGACGACTCTTTCTTCAACATCTCGAAGCTTTTGCTTTGGGTATCACGTTGTCTTTCAACTTCTGAAATCATGTCACCGGAAAAAAGTCATCGTGTTGAAGGTAGTCATGATACTGAAATATTACTCTTATGATGAGGGAGATAAGCGCACCCTGCAGTAATTTTATTCATTAGACAGTTGCAGACTTCCAAGCCAGCTTATTAAGTGCACTCGCAGAAAAGATACTTTAGCAAATATCAACAGTAAACGGGGTGTTGATAGCACGTATTAACACGATTATACCATTCAGTTGAAGAGAAAAAGGGAAATCAAAAATAAAGTAGAAGCAACCACGGGTAGTGAAACGCTTCAGCAGAGTGCATTTGTTTCCCATGCACATTGCGCCGCATTTGCCTCCAAAACAAGTTTCTCTGTCGAGCGGGATGGCGCTGCGGCCCTTGAGCGGTATGGAAAGTGCACCAAGAATGTTCATGACAGCTAATTCGCTATGTTGTGTTGCAATCAATTAGTCCATGTAAGCTTGTATGCTTCGATTCGATGTATAGCTACCTACATACCTATGCGTTTACTCTACTTTTAGCATTGAAAGCTTGACTCATTTTGGCATAAAGATTATGCAATATAAGCTTACCTACCAGTAGGCAGCCTTGGTAGGGGGAAAGAATTTAATTGGGCTAGGTACTAGGATATTAGGCGTTATGCCGGCTCCGTTTCTTATCAGAGCGGGATGTAACTGCCGCTTTGTGTGCGGCAGAGGGTTGCCGTAGCCGTTATTCGACATCTTCCGTTCGAATTTCATATAAACCTTGAGACTCCGTGCCATTAAACAAGCACATCTTTGTCACACGGTTACAAAAGGGCTACAATCACGGGATCTAAGACAGAGAGAGACCCTCACTAAATTCTTGTATTTGTAAAGCTTTTTTCTCAATTAAGCCTTGAGGAAAACCAAGGATCTTTAATACCAAAGACTATTATTAGATGAATTAAGCTATTGACTTGAAGCCCTTCTTGAGCCCTTGTCACAATTTCTTCCATCTGGACATCATTTCTTTTGAGCATTACTCCTCGAACAGCCATCTCCAGCCAGTCAAGCAGGATCTTCTATACTTGAAAATACTCGTTAAACCGCGCCGAAGTTGAACGGTTCCCTGCAATTTCCTCGCCTGTGGGGGGCAATATATACGATAACGAAACAGCTTATCTAGCTACTTACTGGCTCAGAGCCAGGTGTCAAGGTCAAATCACAGTTCAATAATTCCAAGTCAATAATCCAGAATATTGAGGTTCATAGCCAAACATGAGGAGGTTGGCCTCTTACTGTATGCTGTCGGTGAGAATGACAGATATATGAATTATTCTACTATATAAATTCCTAGCTCCAACTTCCTTTGCTGCAGAGGGTGTAAGAGTATTCCACTGATCGTAAACTATAGCTAGATTTTAGCAAACAGAGATAGTAGAATTATTTCTGGTATATTTTATATTTGTATTACTCATTACATAATGGTTTGTGTATCTGGATCACTGGCGGCCTTGGACGGCCCTGCATCTCGTAACTAGTCAAGATATCCAGCTTTGTCGACTCTCAAAAGGTCTTCTCACCCGAAGCTGACCGATTGTTGGCAACATGGGGTGGCGTAAATAAGTTAAATAGTAGGCCATGATTGGGAGATCGTATATGGCGGCGTGGACACTCGAGGCGAATAATGGATCACAGTTCTCCGGAAATCTGTAAGCCGATTTCAGAAAGAAAGGTCGTGATTTGGTTGCTGGAAGTTCTTTCGTTGACCTTTAAAAGAACGCTGAAATGGAGTTTGTATATATACACAGCAACCAGCTTCTATCAACGTGTAGTTTGTTTACTCGTGTGTCTAGCCAATGGGCACTTTCAACAAAGACCCGTACTCCGGCTGCTTTATCCTGATAAATGTAGGTTGTGAATCTCAGAGGCAATAGCCCCCGGATCAGGTTGGTCTTCTGACACCAGGCTTCAAAGTGGCAGGAAACGTGTTGGAGACGGAATGGACGTCGTCTTACAGACAGAGGCTCTACAGGATAGGCCGTATGCCGAATGAAGTTGGGGGATAGTAGTTGCAGCCAGTTGGAGTTTGCACCCTTAGCAAAAGATTCGTTCGGGGGACGTCTCTGTAATAACATTGGCATTCGTTACGGAGTAGAGGTCTGGAGATATTAGCTAGAGCCATGTTCCTAGAGAAAACGAGCAAGCGAGAACAGAAAGGGGAACAGAAGGGCAACGACGAAGGACGACGACGGCTAGCCTTAGACGTGGCTACGACTGATGATGGGCGTTGGTGACGTGCGGCCACGCAGCAACAGACCGGCTTTGTTTAGGCAACCGTAGTCAAAGTTCACGGACCCTTGAATTGGTTGCATATCAAGCCGGCTTGTCAGTCCAACTGCGAATGAATGGTCTTTGATAGCAGTGGCAGACTACGAGGCGGCCAAAATTACTCCCATGACCAACAACTGCAGACCAACCTCTAGAGGCCGATACCCATATACCAACACCAATAGACCAATAGACCAATACACACAGACCAACGCACACAGGCCAACACCCCTAGACCAACAGCGGTATTATCACTGGGATACCAGACTTTTTGACTCGACATGAATTGACGCTCCCGCACACTGCGTACTGAATCACGTCCAGCACAAAGACAAGTATCACCATGGGGGCCTCAGCACATGACCTCAATATTGGTCTTGCATTTCACTATGCCCTTGACGAATCCGGCAAAGGCCGAGCGCTGTGGTGTTACAACATTGTTGTCATCGTAAACGTGGCATCGTCCTCGTGGCCCGCGCCAAGACTTGATGCTTTCCCAGCTAGAGCATTGATTGCCATCCCAAGTCAGGTTGCATATACAGTCTGTGACAGAATATATTTACCTACCGGGAGGTATACGCTAGTATATTATAGTATATTCTAATATGGAGCGTGATAACCAGGTACCTGCTCTGGTTACATACTTTTCATCTCCCACCGTGTTGCCTATTTGTCTAGAAGATCAGGGGGAAAGCTATAAATATTGGTGAAAGTCGCGTCTTTCTCCAGAGAAAGGCACCTCATCAAGAATTCAAGCAAACAGCTATAGCACCGTCTTTACCAATCCTAAACATTGCTTTCAGTATCAATTTCTTCAAAGTTCTCCACAATGCCCGCCGTTCTTGAGGCTCTTCAGTGGCCAACTGTGAACTTTGATGCGTCTGCCGCTTCACCCGGGCCTAATACGCGCGCGAAAACGGACATTGTAGTGGAGACATGGGAAGATTGGACAGACTTTACGTTTGAAAACATCATGGCTATGTATGGGCCCATGTTGGCCCGTCCGTATCTCGGTCAGAGAGAGCCAAGGCCCTTGAAAAAGGACTTGGAGGTCTACGACGAAACGTCTGTTGATGACGGGCTGAGACGGTTTATGATGCCAATCATTAACAGTGCTTTGCATTCCATGATGAGGAAAGAGGAACTATCCGACGCCCCTTATTACTGCCGGGGAACAAGATGCGATCTCTATGAATTCAAACCTGACTGGGCCGCTGTGTCGGATCTGGTAACAGACAAGAGGGAATACAAGAATCTCGTGGGTGGGGACACTAAAGTCAGTTCCAAGTTCGGACCCGACATGCTCCTCGACAACTTTAAGGAATGGCAAAAGGTTCTCACTCAGATAGCCGCGTATGCAGACCATCTGGGCGTCCGGTACAACCATATCCTTACAGACCAGGGCGCTGTGGTTCTCAGGTTCAGTCGCCGGCGAATCGCACCTGGTATTGCGGCAAATCTTCCCAAAAGATCAACGAGAAGTTTCCTCCAACTATCTAGCGACCCATATCTACCCTCCAGCCAGCCCTACGAGGACGAGGACGCCCGAGGTTCGGATCCTGTTGTCGAATTCAAGTCAATCCCCTGGAGCGTGAGCGGTTCCGGGAAGCTCACCGCAAAACTGGCCCTCGCTGTCTTGCCATTGATATCTTTATATGGGGACAGATATATCGCTTATTCGTACCCTCGCCTAAGTATGTGGCGCACTGCGAACCAGCAGGAAAGGGGGGGGAGAATAAAGCACAATACGAATGGAGCAGTTCTTCCGGCGGGCACCCGTGGTATGAGAATGGAAGAACCCGAGCCGATTAATGACGAACACAAGCAAAAGGACAAGGCTCACGGAGAGGAGGGCCGGGAGGCAGAGGATGAGTACGAGGACGAGGACGGGAATGAGGATGAAGATGAGGATGAATTCGAGGACGAAGATGAGGACGAGGATAAAGATGAAGACGACGACGAGGAAGCGCGACCACGGTTCAGCAGAGCGCCGTCTACTCTCGGAGACAGAAAGGCCGGGAGAAGCCGCACGTACGTTACCAAGCACCTCTCCACCCAATGAACACGCCTTTTGCTCTCCACGACGCGCGATAGTCATAGCATCAACAGAAGGAGGCTCGCGTTGAGTGCTGTTCCTCTCATGACTTGGTTGGGGAGGCATGTTTTCACCGGGTTATTTTGCCCCTATCCCTGGGCCGGCTTCGGGCAACACAAGAAATGAATTTTCGTAGACCATATTGAACCAAATAAAAGCCCAGTACTCTGTCTGTGCTATGCGTGCAACACTGCGACTCATTAAAATGGTTCCGTAAGACATCTCACCGCCAACTGCAGTCGAAGAGTGACTTGTGGTTCAAATTAGATGGCCAATCATCAGAGTTGGCCCCCGCGTTGTATGTTGTTAACTTGTTAACTCAAGTGCTGGTATTCATAAAAAGTGGGTCAAGGTGACCAGCAGCAATGGCCGCCCTCAGCGAAACATGCCTCGTCTCTGTCCGAGTTTCCTTCGTAAACCTCCTCCAAACACAGTGCACCCAGAACTATAAATATCCATCCTTTTCGCCATTCCCCTGTGTCTAGTCTCAAGTAGCCCAACAGAGCTACCGCGTTACCAGGTGATACGACCACGTCATTCGAAATGTCAGCTGCCGACGACAGTTCCTTGCCTCGCCTCGTTGTGAGTAAGGGGGGGG